AAACAAGAATAATTTGCTAGGGTAAGAACTCAGAAGACTGACTAGCTACACATCCTGGCAGTCTTTCTGCCTCTCCTTCAAGATATGACAAGTTTACTTTTCTTCTGGTAAATTGTGTTTTGGAAATGAAGTAATACACAACTGTCTCAGAAATCCTGAAAAAGTGAAACTGTTTCCCAAACTCACACCGTGTATTACTAAAAAAGTTATTCCTCCCCACCAATCTCAGCTGGAAAATTAAGGTTTTTTGGAAGCTCATGTTCCTTCCAAACAGCAGCTCCTTCCCTCAAGACACTTGTCAAGCAAGACCAGAACACCATGGACAAGCAGTTTGTGTAGCAATAAGGAGCCTCAGCAGGTTTGCAGGGAATAGGTAACACAACATGTATCCCCACGGGTTACAGGAAATACCTTTGGAGAGTACATCAGTGGTACAAACCTTTTCGTTTAGGCAGGCTTGGAAGTCACTTTTCATGTTATTAACAGCCACTCTGTCCTGGGACCTCTTGGGGCCACTGACATATGGAACTATAGAACTTAGACTAATTTGCACTACCTGAAAAGCAAAGAAACAGAAGTGTAGGCATTTCCCAGCCCAGCACTGCACTCAACACAATCTAGAGACTTACAGGACCCTCCTGTTTAAAATCTGAATGTTCCCAGGCATTTACAGCTCTGGGTTTCCATTTTCCAGACCACTCACTGTAAAAGGCAATTCATCTTATTCCAAGGGTTTTGACATTATTCCTAACTCTTCTACTATCCCCAAGACATACCAGTGACTGGAATTCAGTATCTGTGAGTTGACACAAGGTTATTGTACTTCCTTTCCCCACCCCCTCTATGTGCTGCAAACATTCTCCTTCAAATGGTGAGTTAATAAACAAAACTTGGATTAAAGCAATGAAAACGACAGTGGGAGACAAGACTCAACTCATCAATAGTTCTTTCTGAGACCCAAACATAAGCAAGTCCTTTCAAGCATACCTACCTGGGAATACTCAGGTTCTCTGGAAGAACTCTCATCACTTCTAAATAACTTCACAGCTTTAAGATATGCTTCCATGACTTCAAGCTTGGCCTTGTCAAAACCTTGGGAAGGTTATTTCAAACATGAAAAAAGTCACATTAAAGGCATGAATGAAACAAAACACACAACTTGCAGAAATTCACGCTGTTTTAAAGCACTTTTCCAATCACACCACTTCCATACCCCAATCCCCAGGAGCTGTTGAGGAATGATACAAAAATAAAAACACCTATAAATTCTTCTATTTTTTCTACATTAGCTGATATCAGTGAGTAAAATAAGCTGTTCAAACTCTAGCAGCTGTTAGACAAATGAACCAGACTGGACATAAACCTCTACCACAAGTGTAATTACACATTAAACCCATGTCAAACTCTGCAGCAAAGCAAAGTGTAACAACTGTGGAGTTTTAAGCCAAAAAGAATTGCCACAAATCAAACCCATGGTTACAATAAATCCTTATTTTCATTTCATCTTTACCTGTATGCTTTAAGTGCTTCAGTGTCACATTATCAACAGGGAAAAAACTCAGGATAGCACCATATTCAGGACACATATTTGCTATTGTGGTTCGGTCTGCTACAGACAGCTGGGACACACCACTCCCAAAAAACTCCACAAATTTTCCAGCCACATCAGGTTGCCTAAGATGCTGTTGGAAAGAACACACAACACTTACTACCTGAAGAGGGACAATGCAAGCCATGTTTGTCACAACAACTCACAAGCCACAAACACTGAAAACAAAGCAAAAAAAACCCCATTAAAAACCCATTATCAAATCCTTGTAAGTGATGTTTTATTGAAAGAGGGCCTAGAAATAAACCACTACAGAGGGGAAAGGAACAAACACTACTTCAAAGTAAATCAAGCTGGTTAGAGGTTATTTGTATCTTTCTGCACTGCCATGATCAAAGGTATCCTCAAACCACTCCTGGCATTTAACTCAGTTCTCACCCACCACTGGTAAAACTTGCAACAAACTGTTTGGTTTGAAAAGGCATCCAATTCTTACCTTTGTAATGCTTAGAACAATGTCTATGGATGTGGCAAAGGGGCTGACTGTGCCTGTCAGCTCACAGCCCACCACCTCAGGCAGGGTGAGGGTCACTGGCATGCCCAGCATCACTGCCTCCGTCTCGATGCCCCCGACGCCTGCAGGGACAACACCACACTGCGTTTCAGCACTTCAACTCACCAAGTATTCTGAGGTCCTAAAATCTAATAAAACCCTTTATTAAGCCTAAAGGCTTGTGACCATCAACATATTGCTGCTGCTCTATTACAAGTGAAGAGCATCACTCCATACCGGACAAGGACACAGCAAGAAAAGTACAAGTTCTGTTAGATATTGGGACATGCAAAGGAAAATCAAGGGAGACTTCTGCTTGAGTTACATGTCACAGTCAAGCTGGCACCATTTTATAGCTAAAACTCATTTCTGATAGAAAAGGAACAGCACTTATTTGAATATCAATGGTTTTTTGGCTGTTTTCTCTTGAAATTCCAAAGTGGTTTCTTGATGGGAAGAAACGTTAGTTGAGATTACTTTTAGACAAAAAACACTGTGACGAAGAATTCCAAGAGAGTCTGTTATGCTGGAGATAGAAACATCCAGTGGGAAGAAAGCATTGCTTAGTCAAGCTTTAAAGTGCCTTTCCAAGGGTAAGCAAGTAGTTCTGAACATACTTACCCCAGCCCAGGATACCCAAGCCATTTACCATGGTTGTGTGCGAGTCTGTGCCAACCACGCTATCAGGATAGAGGAGATCTTGCACTTCAAAAACAATTCTTGATAAATATTCCAAGTTCACTTGGTGTGCCATTCCAGTCTCAGGTGGAATTATGGAAACATTCTTGAAAACCTTTGAACTCCACTGGAAGTTTTCCAAAATGAGAAAGAGAGTTGCATTTTTTTTTCCCAAAGCTATATTCAATTCTTAGAACATAACTCAAAAGACAAAACTAAGACACAAAGAGAGTCTTTGCTATCCATGCAAGTGGCTTCTGCTCCTTTGTCAAACAGGGATGTGATCCCCTTGGGTAAGTTTTTAATCATCAGCCAAACCATTCACTCAGCTCCTGTGAAGGCAGAATCAATAATTCATCCCTACCCAGCAGGAGCCAGGCTGCAGGAATCTCTTACCTCCCAGTTCACACAACTGATTTCAAGCCCACCCAGGACTGGTGTTTAGACAACCTAAGCACTTGGATTGATAGCAGAATTGATATTGATAGCACACCTGACTTGAGGCTGACACTTGAAAACTCAGGTGAGACATTTGATACAGCTGACATGGAAATTTGTAACAAGATTCAGCTTAGCCATTTCCTTCTTCAATAATGTAAAAGCTAATTTGCAACTTGCAGAAAGAAACCTTTTAGTCTTACCTATATGAAAAGTATTTTAGGTCACTGCATTGAATTCCTAATCCAAGTCAAACTAGTGGCAAAGGATCAAATACCAACGTTGCAGATCCCTGCCCAGCAGCAAAGTTGATGTTCACCAGTTTGAGACCAAACTGGTGCTGCCCAGTTTGAGAGCAGAGATGCCTGAGCACTAGTCTTTGCTCTACACTTGCACCTTCAAGTTTTGTAGCAGAGGTATGGATAAATGAACCTTTTATCCAGCAACCCATTGTGACCTAAAGCACTGAACTCATGAAAAAGCATTAAAAAGACTAATGCTTCATAAATCCTCAGTGACAAGAACTGAATCAGAGTCAACTTGTTCAGGGCAGAAAGCTTCTTTTGTGTTCCTGGATTTAATTCAGATTTGAAAGTCTGACACTTACACATGATTACTGTAATTTATCACCTAAACCTGAACACTGGTAGACAAATGGAACCAGCTCTTAAAAAAAAAAAGAAACCCCAAAACACAGAGCCTGCAGCTACACAGACATACCTTAAAGAACTGAAGCCTCTCTCTGTTTCTGCCAAATTCCATCTCTTGATTTTTCAATACTGTCTCAGGCCTAGGGAGATAACAAGTTTACAAGCACTGTCATAACTGATTTCAAATTACAGAAAAACCAGTTGTAGTTTTGGCTTTTCTGATCAAAGACTCATTTGAGTCTGCAGAACAATCTGCAGAGCTTTATCAGAACAAGGAGAATTCCTTCCTTGCAGCAAGCTTTCTGCAAACAGGGAAAGATCACTCGCTCCATGTGTGCTGTGCCTGAGAACATGTTTATTCTAGGTATGGTTTGAGATCTATTCCAAGCACGTGCTACAATACACAGAAGCTCTTCTACCCCCTAATCAATCATCTCCCAGGCTGCACACCTCAAACTCCACACAGAAAAGGACCAAGATGTCCATTAGTCCATGTAAAAACACTCCATGCCCAGAACTAGCCCTCAGCAACTGAGGAGAACATCAGGGCAACTGTAACTATCCTGCATGTCTGTGTTTGCCTCTAAGCCACAAGTTTTTCTTCACAGTTACTCATCAGTACAGTCTCATGAAATGAACCACCTTTTCTTATTGCTATTTATTAAGACATTGATACTTGTCATAAAGGAGTAATCCCTAATTTAAGAGGAATAATCTCTGCTTTGAGCGGCTGAACAAGGAACAGAACACACTGACTTTGTGCAAGAAGGAACTGCTCAATTTGTAGAGGTGTATTTTCCATCATGACCCTTCCCTTCCTTCTCTGCAGCAGCAACAAGTCAGTGGCTCTGCTTTGCCAAGCCCTGAGGACAGTCAGTATTCACACTGCAGCTTCACAAATTCCACTGCTGACCTGCTGCCAGAGCACCCAACCCTGCTGGAAGCATCAGCCATTCTGCACTCCTGCACCTGTGCTGAGCAGGAATACTTGCACAGCTATAAAACTGCCACAACATTCAGCATAACATCACTGTGGGATAGAGATTTGATCAGCTTTTAAACACTACACCTGTCCAGCACAGGCAGATAGGGATCTGACCAGTCCATCAGACAAAATAGGAGGATGATTAGATGTAATTGGCATAGATGGGATGGTGCAGGATCTGTTAGCACAGAAATCTGGGAAAGGCAGCTACATGAGGCTTCCCTGGGCTATTCCAAACAGGCAGGATATTCATGGAATTGCAACCCAGTGATAGATGGACTGTGAGACTCTGTAGAAGCTGAGGGATGATGTACAGACTAGCTCCTACACTTCTGAAAAGTTATCACACAAAAGCTACAAATTACTTTTAGAAATAAATTAATGCTGATTTATTCACTGAGGTTTTCTTTGCTTTGTTTTGATTACTCCTATGCTTTGCTGTCCTTGTGAAGAAACAAGGCAAGTATCTAATGAAAATGTCCCAGCCATGGGCCAATAGTTAGCCATCTGCACTCTGCTCAGGAAAGCTGCTCTTGGAAAAGAGTTAATTTATTGTACACTAATTCAGATCTGCTACATTCAAACTTCTTCTAGATACTGACATGTCAGAGGCATCAAGGTTGGAAGAGATCTTTAAGATCATCAGGTCCAACTGTTTACCTGTCACTGCTGTGACCCCTAAACCATATCCTCCAGTGCCAGATCCAGATGCCTCTGATACACCTCCAGGGTTGGTGACTCCATCACCTCCCTGGGCAATATTCCAATGCCTGACCAAGCTAACAGGGAAAAACTTCTTCCTAACATCTAATCTGACTCTCCCCTGTCTCAGCTCATGGCCATTCCCTCCCTGCAGCCATGGCATGAGAGATCATCCCTCACCTCTCTATACCCTGTCAGGGGGTTGTAGAGAGCCATGAGGTCATCCCTGAGCCTCTTCTCAAAGCTAACCAAACCCAATTCACTCAGCCTAGATGTGTTCTAGACCTTTTATGTGCCTCGTTGCCCTTTGCTGGACTTTGCTCCATCCCCTCAATGTCCTGACTATGGCACAGTGAAGAAGAGTACAGAAAGTTGTCTAAAACCAACTCCCATCTGGGATCTGCACAGGCAGTGCTCAGCAACAGAGAAGGGTACAAAATCATTGAGAAAAGGAGCTTCCTTACTCAGGCACGGGCTGCAGGTGGAAGGGACAGAGGATGGGGGTGTTCTCAATCTGTGCAGAAAAGGCTCCCGCACCGCGGCTCGAGTCGGCGCCGCAGGGCCCCCGGCAGCCAGGCTGGGCCCGGCATGGAGCTCTCCGGGGCTGAGCCTTCAGTGGAGACAGCTTGGCCAGAGGCTTCTGGGACTCACCACCTCCAGGGTTGGGAGCATTCTGTATTGCACTGCAACATTAAAGAGAAAACAATCATGGGATCGTCAAGGTTGGAAGAAACATCAAACATAATCGAGGCCAACCATTAACCTGTCCCTGCTGTAACCCCTAAACTGTATCCTCCAGCTCCAGACACCTTTTAAACACCTCCAGGGATGGTGACTCCACCACCTCCCTGGGCAATTCCCTATTCCAGTGCCTGATCACCCTACCAGGGAAAATATCTTTCCTAACATCTGATTTGACTCTCCCCTGTCTCAGCTCAAGGCAGTTCCCTCTAGACCTCTCCCTGCAGCCATGGCAGGAGAAACATCCCCCACCTCTCTAAAACCCATCAGGTAGCTGTAGAGAGCCATGAGGTCACCCCTGAGCCTCCTCAAGGCTAACCAAACCCAAACCCCTCATCCCTTCCTCACCAGACGTGTTCTAGACCTTTATGAGCCTTGTTGCCCTTCCCTGGACACACTCAGCCCCTCAATGACCTCTTTAAAGTGAGAGGCCCAAAGCTGAACACAGCACTGAGGTGTGACCTCCCCAGTGCCGAGACTGGGGGATAAAAACATAATTTAGATACTAGGAATTTTGTTCTTCCCTCCCTGCCTTAGTTTTTTGGAATCTCTTATAAAATCTTACCAGAAAAAAAAAAAGAGCTATACAACCCTGCTGGAAAGTAAACTACCACTGGATAATCTTAGTTAAGTAATGCAGTTTGGTAACAAGTGAACAGAACTGAATTGTCTGAAAGATTAACACCAAACAACTCCTTCCATTTGTTCACAACAGACCAGAAATCTGTATGAACAGTGCTGCAAAAGCTGAACTCAAGGTTTTAAACCTGGAAGCTACTGGTAGTCTCATCCAAACGGAAGACTTGCTGAACTTTTTTCTTTTTTTTAAGACAGTGTTATCCATGTTCTGTTAAATCCACAGTGGAATGATTACAAGCAAAGCTTTCTCAAGGAAAGAAATTACTTCGTTACTTAATTAGGCTTTTTATAGATATTCTCAAAGGCTCAGATAAATTTTATACACTACACAAGAAAGACAGAAAAGTTGGTGGTGTTCTAAAAATCAAGTCCACATAGCACTCTACCCTCTATTTGTACCATACTCAGTCCTTGCAGGAGAGCTTGTTGTAGAAACCTAATCACTTCTTACCTCTCAATAATTACCAAATCACATATGTGCAATTAAAGCCACTGCTTCCTTCTGCTTTAGGAACACAGATACTTGGTTATCACATTGTGGGGCACTGCCTGGGCTCAGAGGATACCTTGTCCCACTCCCACCTCAGCCCTGCAGGAGATGGAAGCTGTACACCAGCAGCAGCAGCACACAGTCCCCTGCAGGGAAGGGTTCCTTATCACAGCCCAGCAGCTGCTAAGACCCAGAGCTCTCCAAAGTGATGCTACAGAGCTGGGATTTATCATCACAAAGCAGCATGCTCAGACCTCTTGCCAACACTTGGTCTGCCTGATAATTTTAGGCTGGCCTAATTGCCATCAGATCAGCTGTTCCTGCAGACACAGCCATGGGCAGAGCACTGGGCTGACACATGCAGCACAACAGATGATCTGGAGCTTCTTGCTCTTCTAACTCTCACCAAACTGAAATCCTGTAAGTGTTTGGAAGGTGGACAAAAATTACTCATATATCCATGTCCATCTGACCACAGGCTTTTTCCCCATGAACTTTTAAAATCCCCAAGTGCCTGAGCAATTTAGACAATTCTACATGAGTCTGGAAGGCTCCATGATGGAGGTGCAGGGAAGCTGCATTATTTAGTGCTTACTTCAGCAAACACTGAATAAAACTCAAGTTCTTCCTTTTCTGCAGTATTATGTTTCCAGCAAAGGCAGCCCCGGGCTGTATCCATCACTGTCAGAAAAGGGAAACTACACTGGTAGTTTCTCAGACCCCATACTTCTCCAGACTTGCCAGTGCAAGTGCACTGCTCCCTGCAAATATATGCAGCCTCACTCAATCACTTGTAAAATCAAGGCCCATAGAAAAATAAAGCAGTCCTTGGCTAGGGGCTGAGATGACATCTGTCAGTATACCCTGGAGCTGGGACAAGGCAGTCACCTTTGAAAAAGAGTTTTGTTTAACTTGAACAATAAAACCAGAGCCAAGCAAAAATTACAGACTCCCTCTGCCTCATTCTCTTGAAACATATTATTTTCTGGAAACCATGCCAGATCCTGTTGTTCCAGCAAAATCTTGCCCAGAATTTGGATTATCAGTCAGCTTCGTCCATAAGGCCTCACAAACATTCTTTCTCTCCTTCAAGAGTGGTAATTTACCCATTTTTATCAAGCCCTTTCTCAGGTGCCATCAGGTCTTGTTGCAGGGATCCACACAAGTGATTAGATGGGATACCACCAAGACCAGAGTGAATCCGTACTTCAGAGTCACACAAAAATGTGCAATTCATAAAAAAAACCCAAGTACATTACCATTTGCTGAAATCAATCTGCAGAGAATGGTCAACAGTGAGATCAGTTGGGCAGGCAGGATTGACTTTCACTGGGTCTCCTCCAGCATTTCTCACAGCTTCCCTCATGGCAGCAAAATCCACCATTGCAGGAATTCCACTGCCAGACAGAAATACAACATGAGACATTAACTCACTAAAATATCCAAGCTGCTTTTTTACCTTTATATCTAGAACTAGCTAGGTCCAATTTCAGATAATAAACCCCTTGCTGTTCTCTACATGTTAAAGGACTTGAAGCATTTTGCCAATTTGGTGGAATGGCTACACCTTTCCAGTGTAAAACAGCAGGTTTGAAGACAACATACCAAGCAAAAAGATGGGACCATCTGGAAGGCAAACATGTTTCTCGTGCCTTGCTATGAAGATGCTGAAGTGTGATGGTGCTTCACTACAGAACTGTAAGCAAACAGTGCTCATGCTATACATTCTAACACCTTAGCATGTGTTATTTGTCTAACACAGCCATCTCTGAAGCTCAGAGCATTGTACAGAGCTGTTTGTGTTGCTGTGACATGCATAAGCACACCTGCGTACAAAACTGAGAGGACAGTGTATCACAGAACCACACAGACCTTCCTGGCTCTGCCTGCCAAGCAGAATTTACCTCCATTTTATTATCAGCATAATTCCTTTTCTTAATTATCTCACTTCTTAATAAACAGAGTTGGCAAAACAGCCTCAATTGAATACTGCAGAAGGAGTGCCCTTTTGGCTGTGCTATGCCATAGCCAAACCACAAATAACCTAAGACTTCTTTTCCAATACATGCATTATTCATGGCTCCAACTGCATTACTCACTGTGGAGTAAGCAGTACTTAATCTTCAATTATCTCAAGCCAGAATTCAGTATATTCCAGTGAACTGTCAGCCATCTGGCTACAGCCAAACCATCACCATTTCCATTTGGGTTTTGGCTCTTATCCTGCCAAGTGTTTCTGGTAGGCCAAGAGCCTCAGCCTGACCAACCTGCACTCAACTCAGGGTTCCCTATGGAACAACTCCTGCCTTGCACCACGTGGAATTCTCATGAGGAATGTGCTGCACAGCAGTAGCAGTACACAGGTTTCCCCTGAGAGGAGGAGATCCTTGGGTATCAGGTGAGGTACCAAGGACTGTACATGAGCTCAGTGAGCTCACACAGGTTATTTCAGCAGTTTGGCACACACACACTTACGTGAAGTCTTGAAGAACAACTCTGGCAGGACAGAAGGGCACTTCAACATTGTTCTGTTTTGTTTTCCAGTCCAAGATGTTCATAGCATCCGTTTCCTTCACCCAGAAGCCATCGCAGTTACGGACACTGGACTCAAACAGCATTCGTATGGAGTAAGGCAGAGTATCTGGGGGAACAAGAACACACCTCGTCAGGGCAACACTTGCAGCCTCATTTTTCCATAAAATCACATCCCTAGAGAATTCCACTTGGCTAGGGACTGGGAAGATAAGAGCTCCAGGAGCCTGCTTTTCCAGCTGCCTTTGGGTTGGATCTTCATTACACAATATGGAACAGAGAGTTGCATAATGTCCACACTGCAGGAGATGAGTTATCCCATGGGATATAAATGGGAGATCCCAATGGTTTGACCACACTGTGTTTAGACAGTGACATTTAAATGTTTATGTTGGCAGGGAGAGATGCAAGGAATCTAGAGCAGGGATTACTGGTCAGAGGAGGTGAAAAGCAACAACAATTGGAATAACCAAAACTATTTTTAACTGTAAAGTTCAGTATTGCCATGCTAAAAATATGAAGTCAAAAGCATCCAATGCCAGAACATTATTTTTAACTAACTGTGCTACACAGATCAGAAACTATACAGTCATGTGCCCTTTGAAACACACTTCAGAAAATGTAAAGAAGGACACTCCACTAAATACAACTTGAGTTGGTTTGCTACTGATCTGACTTCAGGTACTGACAAGCAGCAGCTTCCTGGCACAAAAGAAAACAGGGAAATGAGAATTAAAAAAGAGGAAAAAATCCTCAAATGCCACAATCCTATGCAAACAAACAACAACAACAAAATTAAAATTAAGATTAATTGACATTTCTCCCCTGTATCCCATTATTTTCAGCATCACTCAAGCAGGCAACTGACTTCATGAGAACAGTGAGAAGTATAAAGTTCACTGGAAGAAGGTGAAACAATTAAGTTGAGGCTTTAATTAAAAACAAGTTAGATTTGGTAGTTTCCTGGATGAGATTGAGACCTAATCCAAACCTAATGGTCTGTTCACAAATTACTACTACAGAATTTGCTGACTCTGTTCCTATTGAGTCTTTCTCAGATACTACCCAAGGTTGTCTAATTAGACAAGCCACTATTTTGAGTGTAAGATTTGAGTGAGTTTGAGCACAAACATGTCATCAAAACACATGCAATGAACCCTCATGCCACCACTACTTGAGGTAAGAGCCAAATTACCAGAAAAGAACTGCTTTGCTTCCTTGTGGATTCCCAGGATTTGCAGCATATCCTGGCAGTGACAGACCACAGTGCCCTGTGGGCTGCTCAGCACTAGCTGTGGAGAAACAACTGCTTCTCTCTCTGAGGCACTAGCAAGCTCACATCTGCAATGCTGTGTGCAGTCTGGGGCTTCCCAGGATACAAGGGCTCTCCAAAACTGAGATGACATTCAGCACAGGGTTGGAGAGGTTGCAGTGCCTGCCAGGCACGACAGGGAGAGCTGGGCTGGCTCACCCTGAGAGCAGACAGCAACAACCATCCACCACCTCCCAGGATCTGCAGAGAAGGCCTGACTGAGCACAAGTGCAGACTGAAAGGACAGAACAAAGTCACAGGGTGCAGCAAGGGACACTGTCTGGATGCAAGGAAAAAGCAGCTCACAGGGAGGCCACTTAAACACAGAATATGAGTGAGATCTCCATCCTCCCAGACTTGGGAGCTCCAGAGCCTACGCTGGATCTCCACATGTCTCCTCTGCCCTAAATCCTTCTGAGCTCTTTCTAGCTAACATTTTCCCCCTAACTTTTAAACACTAGAAAATCTCCCTAAAAAAAACTAGCAAACACAGCAATTAACATTAGTAATCTGGTTAATATAAACAGGCACTTACTGTCAGGTTATAGAGATTATATATAGGCAAACAGGTATGTCAGGTTATAGATATAGAGATTATATATAGGCAAACAGGTAAAACTCCAAATCAATATTCTATCAATAAATGCAGTGAGCAATTCCAGGTGTGGATTTGCTACCAGTGCTGTCCCACACTGTTTCTAGATGTTATTTAACATCTTGCTATCTTGTAGCTAATAAGAGGCTTCCAACTTCTCTGGAGAAGTTCCTGTTGGAAGACAAATATCCTCTTAATCCACCCTGTTCAGACTCCTGCAAGTATCTTCAGGAACACCCACAGCTGCTCCAAGCTTATGGCACATTCCAGCAGAAAGCAGTATCTTGTGGTTGTGTTTAAACTCATGTCACAAAGGCTTTTCAAAAAGCTGCTGTGAAACAGCTTGGTTTTGGCACTACCACAGCACTGCTTCTCCCTAGACAAAGCCACCAACAGAAGTGTTCTGCCTCCTTCACATGTGTTTCTCTGAAAGATCAAATTTGTTACTGCAAGCAGAAGTTTGCAAAAGGACACAGGAGTTGCACAAGGTTTCAGCAGACACTGTGCACTAACTCCTTTCTCTTTCCCCTGCAAACACAGCTAGTTAACTACTCAGGCCAAATACAGGTTTGAAGTGAAACACTCACTGGTAATTTTTTATTTCAAAAACACATCACAAATTCTGTGAATGCAGAAGAATTCAGACCTTGCAAAGCTAGAAAAACACCCTGAATACCTTTAATAAGTACCTCAGGTAAGTATTTAAGTTTCCCATGAAAGCCAAGGGAGAGAATAATGCAAGTATGTTTGGATCACAGCCTATTGCAGCTGCCCCCTGAGCCAAGCTCCCTCCCCTGCACCTGATTATTGTGTAGAAGACACACTCAAGGTGGTTTTGGCACACACCACTGTTACATACCAACACCATGCTGGGAATAACCAAGGGTCTGAGCACCCCAGAGCCTCAGCTCCTGCAGCCGAGTCCTGGGAAACACAGCCCTCCACTACCTGCAGCTGCTGAGGAGGTGCAACCAGGACACCATGAAGTTGGACAAAATTACTGCACAAGCTAGATTTATTGTTGAGATGTTAGATAGGAAAAAATGGACAGAGAAGTCCTTAAAGAGTAATTATGATGATTTAGAATATTGTTGCAAACTCCAGCAACACCTGTACTTACAGGGCATGTTAAGGTGTTAGAATGGACCTTAGAGATCATCTAGTCCCAACCTCCTGCCCTGGGCAGGGACACCTCCTACCACAACAAGTTGCTCAAGGCTTTATCCAACCTGGCTTTGAACACTGACATGGTTGGGGCAGCCACAACCTCCCTGGGCCACCTGGGCCA